AACTCCACAAACAAAAGAAAATGCTCAATTCTATTCCCTGCTGATGACATAAGGCTCTGGTTTGGGAGGTTTGCCTCAAACACCTCTTCAAACCCAGATTTTGGGCAAGAGGAGAATCCTGGGGGTTCCTGTTCCCAGGAAAATGCAGAATGCCTTGGTTTCTGTTCTTCCCTCCCCTTGGGCTGTGGGCACATCCCCTGGGAATGATGCACCAGCAGCAGGAAACTGCAAAGAAGTTGGATGAAATCGTTAATTTTTAATTGCTGGCCCTGTTAAAAGGTTGCCTCTAATGGACTTTTCCACTGTCCATCAGGAGGAACAGGGAAGCTGCCGAGTGCTGCCAGGAGGAGCAGGTGCTCAGACAACATTTGGTCCTGTCAGACTGATTTCCTTTCCCCTCACACACCAGCAGGCCTGGATAGGATGAGGAAAATAAGGAAAACCACTTTACAGCAACACAGGCTGAAGTTTCTTCTTTTTATAAAAAGGCTTTCACAGCCAGAACTGGTGGGGGGAACATTTCAAAGTCAAACCAAACACTAAAAAAACGCTGGAAGAGGGATTGAAGCTGAAAAAGGCCATGGCAGGATGGGCAACCAGTCTGGGATTCTATAAGAACTCCAGAAATGAAATGAGGGACATAAGATTTAGTAAAAGAAGAAGAAGAAGAAGAAAGGAAATAAAGAAGAAAGCAGAGCACTCAGAAAGATCATTCCCAAAGAATCCATTTTCCCTCCTGAAGGAGAGGCCACGTTGGGTCCAGGTTGAGCTGCACATCCACATTTACATCCAAATATCCCCCTCCAGGGTTTTGTTTCCGCTCTTCCACCCCACTTGACATTCACTCAAGAGGCTCCACGTGGTTCTCCCTCCCCAGCCCCCCCTGCTGCCCTGTAGGGAAGGAGCCCCTGGCCTGGAGCAGCAGGAATGGCCATTATCCATGGCCATTATCCATGGCCATTATCCATGGCCATTATCCATGGCCATTATCCGGCTCCTCTCCCCCCTGCCCGCCTCGCCTCGTCGGGAATTAAATCAGCTCTGTTGCCCTTTAAGCTTTATCCCCACGCTTTTATCTTTTATCTTTAGCTTCATTAGTGTCCTTAGGGCACATCTCAGCCTCAAAGCTGCCCAAAATAACAATCCCACCTCACCCAGCTCCTGCTTTATCCTGGTTTTTCCGCGTGTTCCTCTCCCCCCACTCCCTTCCCATTTCATTCCCTGTATCCAAGACTGCGAGGTGCAGTTGGAGGGCTGGATGTTGGGAAGCAGATCACTCTCTTTGCTTTTTAACATTTCTCCCGAGAGGTTTGTGGTGGGGTTTTTTTTTTCATCTTTTCCAATTTTAATCCTCTCTTACGACTCTGGGATTTGGTTTTTCCGCCCGACAGTCCGGAGCGCATTTTTATTTCTAGCACTTGCTGGTAATGAAATCGGGATTATTTGCCTTAAATCCATGAATTCATCAGCTATGCAGCAGCAGGATCAAGCCATAAGCATTACTGATCTATGTCCCGTTGCATGATTTTGGTGGAGCACAACAAGCATATGAGAACAATAAAAAGTGGGAGACACAATTCCCGAGCCCCAAAATCCCTTGTTGACCAGAGAAATCATCCATCAGGCCCAGGAGCTGCAGCGGATTTTCAGCCTGGATTCTCCTCCAGAGCAAACCAGGTGGGAAAATCCAATATTTACCATAAAAAAAACCACCAAAAAACGTGTAAATGCACAAATTGTCTGTGTTGGAGTGAGAATTCCCCTGAGCTACGAGGCACCCAAGGTGAACAGCAGTTTATTTCCTGAATATATTTATGATATTATCCCATGTTTTGCTTGGCCCCAGCTGCCTCCCACCCTTCCCCTGGCTCTGGATTTGGGATGGGCTGCTCCTAATTTCCCTCTGCAAGAGCTGCCTGCCCTGGTGCACGGTGTTTGAATCACACTGACTTCACCACAGAACCTGCACACGGAAATATAGCTATTTTTTTTTTAAATCTAAATCATGCAGGTGTACTGGAAAAGAAAAAGTACCCTCAATATTTGGGTCTGGAGCTCGTTTTAAATTCTCTGGCAGGACTGAAGGGATGAAAAAAACGAAGCCAATTCTGGACAGGAGAAGTTCAAACCCAAAGATGCTCCAGCTTTCCCCTTCCAGAGCTGCTCAAAATGAGGGATTTGAGCAGTTTCCACATAACCTGAGTTTTTCAGGCTCCCAAATTCCCTCACATGGACCTCAGCAAACGGACACCTCCATGAACAAGATGCTCCAAGGACATTCCAAAGGTGACACCTCATTTCCAGAGGGATTCCTGCTGTTTCCTCTGAGATCCATCACACAACGCATTCCCTCGAAATTATTAATCCTCAGCTTTTCTTTTTTTTTCTTTTTTTTTCTTTTTTTTTTTTTCAGGAAAAAAAAAGTTGGACTTGCTCTTGTTACTCTTCCCTGCATTGTGTTGATCTGCACCCAGCTCTGTTTTCCAGGGTGTTTCCAGGGCAAGTGGAAGCAGAACATGAGTGGGATAACACTCCATGCTAACACAACATCCAGCAGGAAACACAATCCCACATTTTAGCAGGAAAGACACCCCCCACTGGAAAATCTGGTTGCATCTTTCACGGGGTGAAAAAAGAAGTGAAATTATTCAGGGGGGAGAAAGAAGCTGCTAAAAAATACGACCATGGGGGGAGCAGCTCCTTTCCAAAGGGTGGTGTGCTGAACTCACGGGACCGGGATACCTCAGCCAGCCCTGGCATTCCTGGGAAGGCAAAACAAACACAGCATCAGATCGGAGGGTTTATAAATCCGAATCAATTCCATTCTTAAATAACTTATGAGCTCTAATGGGAAAAAAAAAATATGGCGCAAGTTCTCTCCCTGCTGGGCACTCCAAGGATTGCCCTGGAATTCTCCGTGACTCCAACAAATATCTACCTGTTCACTCGGCAACCGGTGGCCAGGAAGAGCCTTTCTAAGAGGAAAATAACATTTCTAAGAGGAAAATAAAGGACCAAGGTGTGTTTAAATATATTATAGTTATCATTATCATGTTATCATTCCACAGACAGGGAATTGAATCTCTCCTTAAATGCTCCCCCCCCAAAAAAATCCTGTATTTCAGAATTCTCTGTTTCAGAACTTGTATTTCCCAATTTGCATTTCAGGATTCTGGATTTCACAGTTTGTGTTTCAGGATTCTCTGGGTTTCCAATAAATATCCATCCTGTTCCTACTAACTGGTGTCCAGGAAACATCTGAGAGTCATTTAATACTTCATTTATCCACAGGAAATACAAGAGCATTTCTAAGAGTAAAATCAAAGGCAAATGTGTGTTTTATTAAATAAAGAAACATATTAAACATATGTTCTGAAATACTTTATTTAAATACACTATAACTAGTGGTTGTCATTCCAGGACAGGGAATTGAAGGGCTCCTGAAATGCTCCCCCCCAAAAAAATCCTGTATTTCAGAATTCTCTGTTTCAGAACTTGTATTTCCCAATTTGCATTTCAGGATTCTGGATTTCACAGTTTGTGTTTCAGGATTCTCTGTGAATCAGAATCTCCTCTGTGAGGAAAGTAAAAGACCTTTGTGCGTTTGAATATATTGCAATTAGTGGTTATCATTTAGTGTTTCTGTATTCAGAGATTGTTATTTGGACTCTATCAGAGGTGTGAGGATTATGGTTTATGGCTTTTATTTTATGAAATTCAGGATATATGAATTTTGGGGTCATGTTTTAAGTCTGATTTCAAGACTTTAATTGAATTCTGTAAAATTCAGACTCCACTTAAAGTGACTTCTGTAAAACATGGATCGAGGAGCTGTTTCTCCTCCTCTCTCCTCATCCCTGCATTCCCACAGCTGGACCTTGGGGAGGAACCTCCGTCTCAGCTAAATTTGGTGTGGCAATGAACTGCCAAACCCCAAAATTATTCAGAATTTGGCTTTTTCCCACCTTTCCCACCCCTTCCAGCCCCTCTCCCACTTTATTCAAATGTATCTTGATTTCTTGATAACGAATTCGTGATATTCAAGTATATAAAATATATCAAGCTATCAAAACTCTCTTTTCCACTGACTCGATTTACAGGCAGTGATTTCAGGTCGTATCCAATTGTACTTTGACATAATAAATTCCTTGCTATAAGAAATTCCTTCCTTCTGAGCAAAACCTGATCAGAAGGTGTGTGTGTGCGTCCATACAAATAGCTGATTACACACTCTGCGCAAAGAAAACAGCAGGAAAAAACGAGAGTTAACATTTGGGGCATTTTCAGCTGGAGTTAACAGTGAGTTTTAAGATCGTGTGAGCTTTCAGTTCTCATTTTCTGGCCTTTTTGTGCACCTGGAGGGACAGGCCACAGGGAACGGATTCCCGCAGGGTTGGGTGGGATATTGGGAAGGAATTCCCGGCTGGGAGGCCCTGGCACAGGCTGGGCAGAGAAGCTGTGGCCGCCCCTGGATCCCTGGGAGTGTTCCCGTCCCCGGAGCGCTTCCCGCAGGTTCTGAGGGACACGCTGGGATTGCCGGGGGTGTGCGGGGGTGGGGGTTGGATTCGCTGGTGCCTGTGTGTCCCTTTATCCCCGGGATATTCCCTTTATCCCCGGGACAGTCACCCTTCCCTCGGGACGTTCCCTTTCCCCCGCCATGGCGGCCGCTCCCCCTCAGCGGCCGCGACCACCGCGCGGGCCGGAGGGGAGGGGGGAACTGAGCCGCGCTCGGCACGTACCAACTGCTCCTCACGGAGGGGGGGGGGGCGCGTACCACACAGCACGGCCGAGGGGGGGACCCGCCGCCACCTCCCGCTCCGCTGGCACGGGAGGATGAGCGCGAACACCCCTCTCATCGCCGCCGGTGGTGCCGCCCGCCTGCCCGCGCGCCGCCCCCCCGGCCCCACGTGACCGGTTTCCCGGCGTGCCCCGCGCTCTCCGCCGCAGCCGCCGCTGCGCTGCGCGCCCCGCGGGCCCGGCAGAGCCGCCTCGGGGCAGCCCCTCCGGCCGCGCCGCCCGCCCGCCGCCGCCGCCGCAGCCATGTCCGGCGGGGACTCCACGGCGGCCGCCGCCGCCGCGTCCCCGCAGGCGCTGCCGTTCTCGCTGCCCAAGCCGCCGCCCCTCATGCAGCTGACGCCGGGCGACGCCGTGCGGCCCGTGGGCTCGGGCGCCGACCAATCGCCGAAGAGCGCGCGGCTGGGCGCGCGGCCCGATTGGCCGGCGGGCAAGCCCGTCAGCCTCCTGGCGCCCCTGCTGCCCCCCCGCGGAGACCCCGAGCCGCTGCTGCCCTTCGGGGCCGCCGCCCGCGCCCCGCTCCGCGGCAGGATCCTCGGCCGCTGCGGGGGATCCCTGCTCAGCCCCGCCATGCGGCCCGCCGCCGTCGACAGGGGCTCGCTCATGGTGAGACACGGGGAGCGAGGGGGAGGGGGGGAGGGACAGGGGGGTCACTCCTGGGGAGGGTGGCACAGGTGACGCGCACCTGGGGGGGCTCCCTGTTTCCCACCCTGCGGGGACACAGGCACAGGATGGGCCGGGTTGGAATCCCAGAGTTCCGGCATGGATCAGGTTGGAATCACAGAAGGGGTCAGGTTGAAATCCTAGGGTGATGCCGGGACAGGTCAGGTTGGAATCACAGAATGCCAGGATAGGTCAGGTTGGAATCATAGAACGCCTCAGGTTGGAGTCTCAGGATGGATCAGAGTAGAATCCCAGGATGGATCAGATTGGAATCCCACGATGGGTCAGGTTGCAATCTCAGGATGGGTCAGGTTGGAATCCCAGGATGGGTCAGGTTGGAATCCCAGGATGGGTCAGGTTGGAATCCCAGGACGGGTCAGGTTGGAATCCCAGAATCCCAGGACGGGTCAGGTTGGAATCTCAGGACGGGTCAGGTTGGAATCTCAG